TTTGACGGGATATGGCAGTGAATTTTTTTAAGGGGTCTGTAACAAAGTCGCGGCGGACATTCGTTACAGACCTCGTTACAGGCCTCTACAACAAAACCAGCTGGCTCGTTACACACCCCTCGTTACACACCTTCGTTACACATCCTCGTTACACACCCTCGTTATACACGCCTTCGTTTACACACCTTAGATGAACAAACCGGGCTAGTGACGTGGCTGCCCTCTTTTTGCCGCAGCTTGGCTTGCGTTGAATAGCTGCAATTAAGTGTTTTGCTTTGCCTCGTTGTAGACCTCGTTACATAGCCGTTACATACCTCGTTACAGACCCAGCCTAGCCCGGGCCAGCGACCCCGCTTTTTGCCGTAGCTTGGCTTGCGTTGAATAGAGCTATGGAGGGGTGCTTTGCGTGCTGCGCTTTGCTTTGCCTCGTTATAGACCTCGTTACATAGCCGTTACATACCTCCTTACAGATCCAACCCTAGCCCGGGCCAGCGACCCCGCTTTTTGCCGCAGCTTGGCTTGCGTTGTGAGTAGCTGCAATCAAGCTAAAGCTACGGAGACGCGCTTTACGTCCTGCGCTTTGCTTTGCCTCGTTGCAGACTTCGTTATATAGCCATTACATACCTTGTTGTGCTGCGCTACATTGTGCTACTGATATTGCTTGTTAGGAAATGTTTGTCCCGTTATAGACCTGCGTAATAAGGACCTCCGTTATAGACCTCTGTAACAAGATTCGTGGCGCGTCGTACGTTATAGACCCCTAAAAAAATCAGCCATATTCGATGGGATTTATTGGTGAATCATTTTGATGGGATACTCGTTGGGATTTACTGATGAATAGCATTGATAGGATATTGGATTATGGGATATTTAGCGGAATTTAGGGATATTTGATGGGATTTATTGATGAATTATATTGATGGAATTTATTGAAAATTTATGTTGATAAAATATTGGGGAATATGATATAGATATATCACAAATATATATATATATATATATTTTTTATATTATTAAATATAAACATAAATATAGTATATTATATACAACATATTATATTTATTTTATTTATATGTTAATAAATATATAAATAGATTTTAATTTATTTTTATATTTTTTATATAAAGATTATTATTTATTTTTATTATTTGATAGGAAGGAATTATTCGATATTATATTTATATTATATTATTTTATTATCGTTAGAATAGTTGGTTTTTTTGGATGTTATTTAATAGATTATTAATATTTTGTCGAATTAGATTTTGTCGAATATCCTGCTAGATTAATTTATTAATGGATTTTATTGAACATTTATTAGAATAGCCTATTAATGGATTTCGTTGTCGAATATCTCGTTGGAATGGATTGATAATGGACCCGATTTATTTTTTTAGAATTGGAAATAATAAAATAAAATATGGTTCACAAAAGGTATTTTTAGAGAGGCTAATGTGATTTTGTTTTTGCATTAATAAAATTAAATTGAAGGGGTTTCGGGTATTGGTTCGGTTATACAATTAATGAAATATTGGTTCTTAAATCTCCTTTCCTCCCATTTCTTCTCCTTCCTGCTCTTTTTCGATTCCCCCTTGGTTCGCCTTTTAATCGATATATTTTATATTTTATTTGTTTGATTAATATCCAATTTATATGGTTAACATATATTATTATTTTTTATGGAAGGGAATTTGCCGTTTAATACAATTAAGCTGTTGAGCTTTATATATACTTGAATGGTATTCGATATAAGCCCTTTCTTTTTATTAAAAGGAATTAATTTACGATATTCAATCATATATATTATTTCTTTTTAATATTTATTTAATATATATTTATTAAATTATTTATTATTTATTTTTGAAATAATATATATATATATCTATGATTTTTCTTTGAATCTTAATTCATTTTTAATATTTATTATTATTATTTTTAAAATTATATATAATAATTATTTATATGAATCATTATTAGAAATTTATTGATCTTGGATAAATATATGATTAGGAACGAATATGGAATATTAATAGAATATATTATTAGGGAATTCTTATTGAATCTTATTTTTCTCACCGAAGGCTCGCTATATAAGGAGGCTGATGGTTCGTAATATAAGGAGTTAAACAAATAAAACAAAGAAGCAAAATGGAATAAATACGGTATTATATCGATTTTTAGAGGATTTCTTGATTTAGATATAAATAATTGAATGAATAATTGAATATACAAAAATATTTGGGAAAAAAATGTTATTAAGAGGTAATTGGCTGTAATAATATATATGGAAGAAACCAATAATTGAAATTCATAATATATATTAATATGTGTTGGTATACATATATTAAAATGTATTATTTAAATTATATATATATATATTTATAAATTCATATAATTATATACATAACTATATATATATATGTTAAATATATATTATAGATATCAATCATACTTATAGTTGATATTAAATTGAATAATAAATAATAAATATATATATATATTAATATTATGGATAATATTCCTATATTTTTTATGATATTGGAAACCCTTATAATTAATTTATTCGTATAAAAAATTAAATAAAATATAGTTTATATCAAATAAATTAAATAAAACATGTTGATTTTATTAACATATATGCTTCTAAAAATTATGGGAATAAACAAAGATTAAAAATAATTTGATATTTTATAATCAAAATTTTATTTTATTATTTTTAGAAATAATTTATTTATATTATATAGAGCTAAATATAATTAAACAACATATATTTTGTACATTTTCTAATTGATATTTAAATATAATTAATTTTAGATAGAGATAAAATAATTCTTGCCGGTATGTTGGCTATGCCGATTGCAAGGTATATGATCAACGCCCAAGCCTGTATAGAGACAGAATGATTCTTTTTATAATTAATTTATTAAATTTCAATATTTCCGATAATTTTATAGATAAATATATAATATATTTGTAAATAAATTAATTAATAAATTTAATGGTTTAATTTTTATAATATTCAGAATAATTAGTTAACCAATAATATAGATATATTTTTTAATATAAATATAAATTTTTCTATATTATCTTATATCTAAAAATTATATAAAATTATATTCAGAAATAGATTATATAAATATTATCTTTAATTATGAATAAATAATATCGAATTTATTTTATAACTAAATTTGGGAATTAATATTTTTAATTTTGTAAAATTATAAGTTTGATTTATTCAATATAATTATTAATTAATATATCTATTATATAATACTATTTTTATTTTTTACTATTCATATATATATATAAATTTATTTCATTTAATAAATAATACTTATTGTTTAACAAATATATTTAAATACTTTATAAATAAACCATATTTTTTAATTAACTATTTCAAATTTCAAAACCTTACCTTTAATTATTAGATTCTATGTTGGAATCCGCATTTATAATACTTTTACACCACGCCCCCACCCAATATCTTGCCAAAGCAACTCGCTAGTGGATCCCGCCGAATATCCCGCCAGAGCTAATCGCTACTGGATCCCGCCTAGTATCCCATCAGAGCTTGTCAGTGGATCCCGCAAATCTCGTCAAATATCCCGTCAGAACGACTCCCGACGAGTAGATCCACTAGATCCCGCCCAATATCCCGAGAACTACTTGCCCGTGGATCCCGTCCGCTAAAGCGGCTCGCCAATAGATCCCGCCGAGTATCTTACCCGCTAATGAATCCCGTCGAGTATTTCGCTAAATATGCCAAAATAGTTCGTTACTCGCCAATGGATCCCGCCGAGAATCTTAATAGCTAGTCGATCCTACCAAGTATTCCACCAGAATAGCTCGTTAGTATTGAGTATTTTCAAAATAGTTCTTCAATAAATCCCATTAAATATTCCGTTAGAATAACTCGTTAATCAATCCCGCTATATATTCTACCAAACCAACCCGCTAATCAATCCGAATAGTTCATTAATGGATACCGAATATCCTGCTAAAACGACTCGTTAGTGGATCTTACCAGAGCATGAATCCCGCCGAATATCCCATTAATTGATGAATCCCGCCGAATATCCCACTAACTAATAAATCCCGCCGAATATCCCACCAAAATAGTCCGCTAATAGATCCCGCCGAATATCCCATTAATTATCCTACAATAATTTGCTAATAGATCCCGCCAAATATTTCGCCAGAGTAATTCGTTAATGGATCCCGCCGAGTATC